AATGTCCACAAACGCTTCGTTTCGATTAAGAAAGCACACATGTCGACATTCTCGTTTGAAAGGCTTGCACGTTGTGATGTCACCATCTCCCCACACACACTGAAGTCTCTCTCGATCTGGGCGGATGATGAGGGTAAAGCAAATAAAACTTTCGCCACCCTCGGTAATATACTGTAGCCGCCACTGTGCTCCATTCGCATCCAAAAAGAAAGCACGTTTTCATTGGCTCTCATCTCAGTCTGATCAATCTCCCAGTTGCGAAGCTCCTGGCTAACTCGATCAGGTTGAATAGGAAACGGACGTTGAGTAGCACGGCTTCCAAACCGTGCACGTATACCGCTGATGAGGGGTGGATCATCTTCGGCAGAATGCTGATGACGCACCATATCACTTGCAACAGGGTCTGCTACCTTCTCCATCAATGTACGAAGCCTTGTCTTCACTGCCTCATTCACGGAGCTAACGAACACGGTTATTGCATCTTCCGACATTTCTTTTTCCTTGTACAACATTTTCACGACCGCGTTGAGGGACTTCTCCGGGCTTTTGAAGTCAGGGTGCAGTCTTTGCTGCATTTCGAAAACAAAAGCTCCTTCATCGAGATAAGTCTCACTTGTGTAGCGGCAGAAGAAACGCGAATCAAAAGCACTGCGTAATAATTGCCTAGTTTGCACCGCAATCTCTGTCAGGTCGTCCACTGCAATCCACTTGAGCGAATCGGGCTTCGATCGATAATTGAACAAAGCCTCCTCCAAATTCAATGTGTCGAGACGTATTTGATACAGCTCCATGAGCACTTCTACTTTGTTAGGACGCTCGGCCTGGCAGAGTCTCTTAAGCCTCGAGATTGGATCCAGCAGTGATAAAATCTGCTGAAGATCCCTGCGACGGTTTTTCAGCCTGAAAGATGGCGGAGATACGCGCTGTCGGAGGGCGAGGCGGGCGCGTTCGTCGTACCACTCGACAAGTGCTCCCCACTTCTCCAATATTCGGCGGATGGTGCCAGTGATGCTCAAAAACCGATTCGCCGCGTAACCTAGTAGCTGGGTAGTAGACGTGATTGTCTGCGTTCGGCAAAGTGCAGCAAACAGATCTCCAGTCTTT